GTGGGGAGGGAAAGTCGTTGATGGAGGTGGGGAGGGGAAAGAGTCGTTGATGGGGGGGTGGGGAGGGAAGACTCGTTGATGGGAGGTGGAGGGGGGCTCATTGATGGAGGTGGGAGGGGAGACTCATTAATTAAGGTTGGGGATGGAAGGCTCGTTGATGGGAGGTGGAGAGGGAAGGCTCGTTGATGGGAGGTGGGGAGGGAAGACTCGTTGATGGGAGGTGGGGAGGAAAGACTCGTTGATGGGGAGGTGGGGAGGGAAGACTCGTTGATGGGAGGTGGGCAGGGAAGACTCGTTGATGGAGGTTGGGGGGGCAGGGGAGGCTCGTTGATGGAGGTTGGGGGGGGCAGGGGAGGCTCGTTGATGGAGGTTGGGGAGGCAGGGGAGGCTCGTTGATGGAGGTGGGGAGGGAAGGGAGGCTCATTGATGGAGGTGGGGAGGGAAGAATTCCCTCCTCCACCTCCCAGCATGTAGAACCTCTCAAAGGGCTGGGAGGGGGTTAAATAGTTTAGGCCGGCCCTCACTCACTGGAGGTGGGGAGGGAAGGCTCATTGATGGAGGTAGGGAAGGGAAGGCTCATTGATGGAGATGGGGAGGCTCATTGATGGAGGTGGGGAGGGAAGGAAGGCTCATAGATGGAAGTGGGGAGGGAAAATCATTGATGGTCAGGGTGGGGAGGGAAGAATGCCCGCCTCCACCTCCCGGCATGTAGAACCTCTCAAAGGGCTGGGAAGGGGTTAAATAGCTTAGGCCGGCCCTCACTCTACAAAGGTGCTAATAAATCTTTAAACTGTCCACACAAATTCCAATCTCATTGTACAATCACCTTTAGATCTTCCCACAGCTTAGGCCTTCCTAATTGTACGAAAATTGAATGCGTTGCTTCTGGTCGGCCCTCGCGCTGCATAAATGCATACAGAGATGATTCTACAGAGATTGTAAAGTGGGTGACCATAATAAAGGAGATTGCACAATAAGATTAAAACGTGAGTCCAGCATACTGGAAAATTCTTACTGCCTAGGGACCTAATTGTAACCAGCAGGCTTCTGGTCCCCGGACTTTCTCCTGAACTGAACAGATTTCAATTCAGTTGCTCGGAGCGCCTGTGCGGACACCCGACTGCAGTCCCAGCAGATGAGGGGAGACATTATTACAATCTATTTTGTTACTTTGGGATAAGCAGGACATGAATGGATGCTGACAAATCCCTGGAACAGATTTTCTTTATTGTTCTGCAGAAAAATTCCCGAAGTTTTATGCTGTTCCGGCAGGACCATGGTGACGTCCCTGGCGACCCTCCTAGGCTTGGGTGAGCGATTAAAGTTTTTTTCTTTCAATCAGTTATTCTCCCTGGAAAGTACAATACGGAGGATAAAACCAAAACGACAAAATCCTAAAAATCACAAGAACTTTATTCAGCAAATAATAAAAATATATCATAGCTGATCAAAGTTTCAAAAAAATTAAAGGAAGACTCTGAGAACCCATCAGACCCCAATGGGAGGAATCTCCTGCTGGATCTCTATACTGACATGGAGGGGGGATGGGTGATGGGGGGGGACGCCCCATCGTTGGATGGAAATGATCGACCTACAGAGGACTGAATTCACAGACACCCCAAAAATCAAAGTGAAGAAATGATGCAGCAGGCGAGTCCATGTTGGTGAAATGTCATTGCAGCAACTCAGAATGGTCCTCAGTAGTCTGTGTGGCCCCCACGTGCTTGTATGCATGCCTGACAACGTCGGGGGAGGGTCCTAATGAGACCACGGATGGTGTCCTGGGGGATTTCCTCCCAGATCTGGACCAGGACATCACTGGGCTCCTGGACAGTCTGAGGTGCAACCTGGGGGGCGTCGGATGGACCGAAACATGACATTCCAGAGGGGTTCTATTGGGTTTAGGTCAGGTGAGCGTGGGGGCCATTCAATGGTATCAATTCCTTCATCCTCCAGGAACTGCCTGCATACTCCCCCCACATGAGGCCAGGCATTGTCTGCACCAGGAGGAACCCAGGACCCACCGCACCAGGAGGAACCCAGGACCCACCGCACCAGGAGGAACCCAGGACCCACCGCACCAGGAGGAACCCAGGACCCACCGCACCAGGAGGAACCCAGGACCCACCGCACCAGGAGGAACCCAGGACCCACCGCACCAGGAGGAACCCAGGACCCAGTGCACCAGGAGGAACCCAGGACCCACTGCACCAGGAGGAACCCAGAACCCACCGCACCAGGAGGAACCCAGGACCCCGGCACCAGGAGGAACCCAGGACCCACGGCACCAGGAGGAACCCAGGACCCACGGCACCAGGAGGAACCCAGGACCCACGGCACCAGGAGGAACCCGAACCCACGGCACCAGGAGGAACCCAGAACCCACGGCACCAGGAGGAACCCAGAACCCACGGCACCAGGAGGAACCCAGGACCCACGGCACCAGGAGGAACCCAGGACCCACCGCACCAGGAGGAACCCAGGACCCACGGCACCAGGAGGAACCCAGGACCCACGTGCACCAGGAGGAACCCAGGACCCACGGCACCAGGAGGAACCCAGGACCCACGTGCACCAGGAGGAACCCAGGACCCACTGCACCAGCGTAGGGTCTGACAATGGGTCCAAGGATTTCATCCCGATACCTAATGGCAGTCAGGGGGCCATTGTCTGTAGAGGTCTGTGTGTCCCTCCATGGAGATGCCTCCTGTGATACATGTGTGACATGACTGTATAGGATGTATGGATGAGAAGTGATTGACACTCAACTGTCATAATGCTAACGATTATAACCATTAGATGGGTAACTGGAGTTCAAAATAACATGTTGGAAGTGTACATTAAACCAGTTGAAACCAGAGATGTGGCTGATATTCACCAGATGTGCATTCCATCAAAATAGGTAACTACACGTGATGGCACAGCCGATCACGCATTGACTCTAACTACTCTGCAGAATCATACATGACGTTATATAACCAGGAGATACTGCGCATGGCAGTAGATAAAGACATTCCAAACTATGTATATAAAAGACGGGGGATTCTAGGGGAATTTGGGACTCATTGAAGATGCGGCAGACGTGCCTTGCGGTGATTTCCCGGATTCCCCTTTGCTGATGTTGGAGTCCCCCAGTCACTGGGCAGGTGGGTGATGCTACAATATCCGGTGATGTATTGATGCTTTATTCTTGCTATAATATGATCTAAATATGATTTGCAATTCTGACAATTCTTATGTTGTTATACTAACAGAACTTATTCAATAAATCATGTTTTGCTTTAATATTTATTAAGCCTAATCCGTGTATTAGTGAGCGATTGTAGTAGTGTTAAAAACACCTTGTTTTGAGGCAAAACACCTCCCCAACCATCACTGACCCCCCCACCACCAACGGTCATGCTGAACCATGTTACAGGCAGCAGAACCTTCTCCACGGCTTCTCCAGTCCCTTCCACATCTGTCACATGTGCTCAGGGGGAACCTGCTCTCATCTGTGAAAAGCACAGGGCGCCAGTGGTGGACCTGCCAATTCTGGGGTTCAATGGCCAATACCAATCCAGCTCTATGGTGCCGGGCAGTGACAGGGCACAGGGCCCACCCTATGAGGACAGTCCCACCAGGGCCCTCAGGTCACCCTCATGAAGTCTGTTTGCTGAGTGTTTGGTCAGAGACATTCACCCAGTGGCCTGCTGTCTCCTGGTCATTTTGTAGGGCTCTGGCAGGACTCATCCTGCTTCCGTTCCTCCTTCCACAAAGGAGCAGATACTCGGTCCTGCTGATGGGTTAAGGGCCTTCTATGGCCCTGTCCAGCTCTCCTAGAGGAACTTCCTGTCTCCCGGAATCTCCTCCGCGCTCTCGTCTCCCGGAATCTCCTCCGCGCTCTCGTCTCCCGGAATCTCCTCCGCGCTCTCGTCTCCCGGAATCTCCTCCGCGCTCTCGTCTCCCGGAATCTCCTCCGCGCTCTCGTGCTCTTGAGACTGTGCTGGGAGACACAGCAAACCTTCTGGCAATGGGAGGTATTGATGTGCCATCCTGGAGGAGTTGGACTGCCTGTGCAACCTCTGTAGGGTCCAGGTATGGCCTCATGCTACCAGTAGTGACACTGACCCGAGCCAAATGCAGAACGAGTGAAAAACAGAAAAGAGTAGTAGGAGAAAAAATGTCAGTGGCCTCCACCTGTAAAACCATTCCTGTTTTGGGGGTCATCTCATTGTTGCCCATCTAGTGCCCCTGTTGTTCATTTCATGAACACCAAAGCAGTTGAAACTGATGAACACCCCCCTCTGCGACTTACCTGACCAGATCCATATCCCGGGAGTGTCATCGACTGGATGCGACTCGGATTACAAAGTCTTCCTTTCATTTTGTTGAGCCGTGTATATATACAAGCACCAAGGGAAACGGCCATATGGACTAAATATCTCGATTGATATATCATCCATTTGTATTTTTAGTCCATATGGCTGCGGTTTCCCTCGGTCCTTGCATTATATACAGAATGTACCATTTTCCCTGAAGAAGACCGTTTGTTGAAACGCGTCAGCGAATGGGATTTTAGGATTTTGTCGTTCTTTTGGTCCAATGTTTCGATTCTCCGTGTCCCTATAAAGTCCTTCCAGGTCGTAGTCGGGAAACGTTCGCAAACGCCCGCCAAGTGCTGGAGAACCCAAAGAATCCCAAATCCAACCTTTCCCGCTCTTCTAGAAAGGCACCCATGACACGCACTTTGTAAAGGCTGCTGGACCTGCGATGAGGAAAGCACCGCCCGCCGCCTGCCCCCTATAAACTAGCCAAGGATGGTCATTTTATTTTTTTTTTAGGCCGATCAAAAAAAAAAAAAAATAAAATGAAAGGATTTAGCCGGTCCTGGAACTGGCTGCCCAAGTCAGGCGGTCCCATCTCTGCCGGGAGGGAGGTGAGGGGGCGGAGTTAATGAGCGGTTGATTGTCTATTGTGAGCATGTGCGGTCGGTGACCCGTGTCTTTCTCCTTCCAGCGATGTTGGTTCAGACGTACGGCGGATTAATCCAGTTTGGTCGCATGATAGAAATAGTGGTTGGCAGGCCGGCATTATTCACGTACGCGTTCTATGGGTGTCACTGCGGTGCCGGAGGGAGCGGGTGGCCTGTGGACAACATTGACTGGTAAGATATTCCCCCGCCTTGTGGATTACATCCAGTCATATTCCTGTGATCCAGTGGATTCTCCGTGATGTCACCGCTCTCTAGTGACAGGCTGCATTCTCCGTGATGTCACCGCTCTCTAGTGACAGGCTGCATTCTCCGTGATGTCACCGCTCTCTAGTGACAGGCTGCATTCTCGTGATGTCACCGCTCTCTAGTGAAGGGATAGGCTGTATTCTCAGTGATGTCACCGCTCTCTAGTGAACGGATAGGCTGTATTCTCAGTGATGTCACTGCTCTCTAGTGAAGGGATAGGCTGCATTCTCAGTGATGTCACCACTCTCTAGTGAAGGGATAGGCTGCATTCTCGGTGACGTCACCGCTCTCTAGTGAAGGGATAGGCTGCATTCTCGGTGACGTCACGCTCTCTAGTGAAGGGATAGGCTGAATTCTCAGTGACGTCACCGCTCTCTAGTGAATGGGATAGGCTGAATTCTCGGTGACGTCACCGCTCTCTAGTGAACGGATAGGCTGAATTCTCAGTGACGTCACCGCTCTCTAGTGAACGGATAGGCTGAATTCTCGGTGACTTCACCGCTCTCTAGTGAACGGATAGGCTGAATTCTCGGTGACTTCACCGCTCTCTAGTGAACGGATAGGCTGAATTCTCGGTGACGTCACCGCTCTCTAGTGAACGGATAGGCTGAATTCTCGGTGACGTCACCGCTCTCTAGTGATTGGATAGGCTGAATTCTCGGTGACGTCACCGCTCTCTAGTGAACGGATAGGCTGCATTCTCGGTGACGTCACCGCTCGCTAGTGAACGGATAGGCTGAATTCTCGGTGACGTCACCGCTCTCTAGTGAAGGGATAGGCTGCATTCTCGGTGACGTCATCGCTCTCTAGTGAAGGGATAGGCTGCATTCTCGGTGACGTCATCGCCCTCTAGTGAAGGGATAGGCTGCATTCTCGGTGACGTCACCGCTCTCTAGTGAAGGGATAGGCTGCATTCTCGGTGACGTCACCGCTCTCTAGTGAATGGATAGGCTTCATTCTCGGTGACGTCACCGCTCTCTAGTGAACGAATAGGCTGCATTCTTCATGTATATACACCTTGCTGTGATGAATTATATACACCTTGCTCTCTTTGTCCCGCTCCAGGTGCTGTCACGTCCATGATTGCTGCTTTGAGTCGATCTCCAGCGGAGGATGTTATCCACTTTGGGTCTTTTATAGATACGATTACATCGATGGAGACGTAATTTGCTGTAAGACCAATCGCTGCCCATAGACTGCAACCAGGATCTGTGTCTTATCCCCATCTGCGACCCTCCAGCTGTTCTGAAACTACAAGTCCCATCATGCCTCTGCCCTTTGGGAGTCGTGCTTGTACCTTGCAATGTTTCATGGGAGTTGTAGTTCTGCAACAGCTGGGGGGGGGGCACAGGTCGAGCACCCATGCCATAGATTGTGCAATCTGCTCCAGCCTCCTACATCCAGCTGTCTGTCCAAATGCTTCATACACCATTGACTGGTCCCATGTCCCAATACTTCAATTATACCCGTGTCCTTCATGGACAAAACCAGCACAAAGATGGGGAGAGCATTTGGACTCCATATTTATGATTTTCAGTTATCAGGTGGTAAATTATCGAGATTATATACGTAATAAGGGAGATTCTGTTACTGAAATCCCCATATTGACCTCCATTATTTCCTGGCTTCCAATAAATCATTTATTTCCTATGATCGCCATCTAGTGGCCAAAATTAGGTATTTTCCTGAATGAGTTATTTCAGGGAAATACAGCATTATGGCCACTAGATGACGCTGACGCTCATAGGAAACATATTTGGCAAAATATGGGGAATATTTCTGATGGTTACACAGAAAATTTAGGATTTTTTAAAAATGTAATAAAAGGATGTGAAAGCTTTTCTAGTTTCCAGCAGCCGCCATGACAAAGAACTGATTCAAGTCTGAACAGACTTTCTCTCCCGGCCTGAGCTGACATCTATTCGTTTCCCAACAGTGGATAATCGGTTGGACGGATGCGCCAGGCAAGCCTGCGAATGTGACCGCGCGGCCGCCCTCTGCTTCCAGAGACACGACGGGACGTATTCCCACTCCAACAACTTCTATCTCAAAGCCAAGAGATGTGACGAGCTCCAGCCGCCCTGCCACCTCGACCCTCTGACCTGGAACTGAGGCCGCGGCACCCGCCGGCCCCTTGTGAGCGACCCCAATAAATATGTTGAAATGATCTGAATATTTCTGGTGATGTTTTACAAATAGAATGTTTATATACAGAGCCCTAACGGGGCCCCGGTGTACAAAACCATGAAGGCCCTTCTCCAGCATACCTGGTGATCCTGCCACACCCCTTAGCAATTAGCCCCTCCCTGTTTATTACTGACCATGCTAGGCATAGAGGAGGATCTATCCTAGCATGCTCAGTTTGTGTCTCCTGTTCTGACTTAGACATTACGGGACTCTGTGCCAATGCAGGCAGTGCCTGTAGTCCCAGTGTCAGGTGCATGCAGTGCCTGTAGCCCCAGTGTCAGGTGCATGCAGTGCCTGTAGCCCCAGTGTCAGGTGCATGCAGTGCCTGTAGCCCCAGTGTCAGGTGCATGCAGTGCCTGTAGCCCCAGTGTCAGGTGCATGCAGTGCCTGTAGCCCCCAAGTCAGGTGCATGCAGTGCCTGTAGCCCCAAGTCAGGTGCATGCAGTGCCTGTAGTCCCCAAGTGTCAGGTGCATGCAGTGCCTGTAGTCCCCAAGTCAGCTGCCTGTAATCCCCTAGTCAGATGCATGCAGTGCCTGTAGTCCCCAAGTTAGATGCATGCAGTCACCAAGTCAGGTGCATGCAGTGTCTGCAGTCCCCTAGTCAGATGCATGCAGTGCCTGCAGTCCCCAAGTCAGGTGCCTGCAGTCCCCAAGTCAGGTGCCTGCAGTCCCCAAGTCAGGTGCCTGCAGTCCCCAAGTCAGGTGCCTGCAGTCCCCAAGTCAGGTGCCTGCAGTCCCCAAGTCAGGTGCCTGCAGTCCCCAAGTCAGGTGCCTGCAGTCCCCAAGTCAGGTGCCTGCAGTCCCCAAGTCAGGTGCATGCAGTGCCTACAGTCCCCAAGTCAGGTGCATGCAGTCCCCAAGTCAGATGCATGCAGTGCCTGCAGTCCCCAAGTCAGATGCATGCAGTGCCTACAGTCCCCAAGTCAGGTGCATGCAGTCCCCAAGTCAGATGCATGCAGTGCCTACAGTCCCCAAGTCAGGTGCATGCAGTGCCTACAGTCCCCAAGTCAGATGCATGCAGTGCCTACAGTCCCCAAGTCAGGTGCATGCAGTGCCTACAGTCCCCAAGTCAGGTGCATGCAGTCCCCAAGTCAGATTACAGCTGCAACAAACCTGCATGACAGCGGCTCCTTCTCATCACAGTAGCTTAATGATTAGCATTTCCCCCTGGCAGTACTCGGGTCGTTGGTTCGAATCCCAACCACGGCATCACCTGCCTGAAGTTTGCATGTTCTCCCCTGTGCGGGTTTCCTCCGGGTCTTCCGGTTTCCTCCCACACTCCAAAGACATGCTGGGAGGTGAACTGGTTCCTGTCTAAATCGTCCTTAGTATGTGTATGAATGAAGGTGAGTAACCTTAGATTGTAAGCTCCTCGGGGGCGGGGACTGATGTGTATGTATGTATATATATATGCGCTGTGTATATTGACGGTGCTATGTAAGTACCTGTAATAATATAATCCTGCAGCTGAAGTCACGAGCGTCCTCTGCAGTCTTTTCCACCGCCAGCCCTCTGACCTGCAGGAGGCGAGTAGTGGACTAAGCAGGCGTGTGACGGCTGATAAAGCGGCCCCCCCCCCCCCCCCCCCCCCCCCCCCCCACCTAAAGAAAGGGATTTCTTTTCTTTAATTGAAAATGGGGCTAAATGTATACAGAAAATATTCGGTGTGCTTGTTTGTATTTGTATACACCCCGCCTGACCCGTATACCCCCCCCGCCTGACCCGTATACACCAGTATACACCCCGCCTGGCCCGTATACACCCCGCCTGACCCGTATACACCCCGCCTGGCCCGTATACACCCCGCCTGGCCCGTATACACCAGTATACACCCCGCCTGGCCCGTATACACCAGTATACACCCCGCCTGACCCGTATACACCCCCCTGACCGCCCGTATACACCCCGCCTGACCCGTATACACCCCGCCTGACCCGTATACACCAGTATACACCCCCGCCTGATACACCGTATACACCCCATATACACCAGTATACACCCCGCCTGACCCGTATACACCCCGCCTGACCCGTATATACACCCCGCCTGACCCGTATACACCAGTATACACCCCGCCTGACCCATATACACTCCGCCTGACCCATATACACCAGTATACACCCCGCCTGACCCGTATACACCCCGCCTGACCCGTATACACCAGTATACACCCCGCCTGGCCCGTATACACCAGTATACAACCCCCCCCCGCCTGGCCCGTATACACCCGTATACACCCCCGCCTGGCCCGTATATATACACGTTTTTTTTTTTTTTTTTTTCCTTTCTTTATTTAAAAATAGAATTTTCCAGACACCTCGGGGTTGATTTACTATGACTGGAGAGAGACAAATCTGGGGCGGCTCTGCGGAGAAACCAATCAGCTTCCAGGTTTTATCATCCAAGCTTCATTGAACAAGCTGAAGCCGATTGGCTGCCATGCAGAGCTGCACCAGATTTTGCACCCTCCAGTTTTAGTAAATCTCCCCCATTGACATAGAACAACCAACTCCGCTGGTGCAGAACCAGAGATCCCGAGACCAAATGTTCATGGAGGGCCCACATGCTGGATCACGGGGCCCGGAGTAACCCTCGCCTCTCACATGCCACAAAGGCCAGAAAAAACAAAAGTGCTTCATGCGGGATCCGGGGATCAGGAAGATTTCATGTCTTTTGTTTTGTCACTGGAAGATGTAACACCAAAAATCACTCGTGTGGCATCAGCCCGCCAGCGCGAACCTGCGAGCGCTCCTTCCACCTCTCCGGATTGGGCAGCTCTGGGATCTCCCAGCATGCACTGCAAACCCTGAGCGTCAAAGAGAACGAAAAATGGCGGCAGCCACAAGGCACTGTGGGGTTTTCCATGAGAGAAGCCCTGACGCCTTTTTTTTTTTTTGCCAACATTGAAGGACTGAGGTGTTCACCTGAAAATGGCCAACGTGGAATCCTAGGAACCAGAGAGGGAGGAGAACGGCGGGGGCTGTATTGGCCAATAGAAGTCAGATGTTCACAGCGGCAAAAGCCTTCACAACCGTAATGCTGGCCTGGTCCCCGTCCTCCTCCCGATGGTTATTGTCCGCGATACTCCGCAGTTCCTGCACCCGCTGCCGGTGCCTCTCCTCCTGCCGCTTCTTCTTCTGCAGTCGTTGCTGCTCCTTCCGCTGCTTGTTACTCAACTGCCAAGACAGAGGAAAATGGCGGCTTTAACCCACATGGAAGAAAAATATATTTGATATATATGCTGTAATTTTGGCCGTAATTCAATATATATTTATTTCAGGTACTTATATATCGCCGTCAATGTACTCCGCGCTTTACATATATATTGTACATTCACATCAGGCCCCGCCCCCGAGGAGCGTACAATCTAAGGTCCCTAATGTACATACATACTAGGGACAATTTGGACAGGAATCAAGTCACCTACCAGCATGACTTTGGAGTGTGGGAGGAAACCAGAGTACCCGGAGGAAACCCGCACAGGGAGAACATGCAAACTCCATGCAGGAGGTGCCATGGTCGGGAATCGAACCCATGACCCATTTACTGCAAGGCAGACATGCTAACCATTAAGCCACTGTGCCGCCCATATACATAATATATACTGCATGTTGAAATGCGTTTATTACAAAATATTAAAAATATTTTAAAAAATAAATTTCAAATATACTGTATGTCTTTAACCACTTCCAGGCCGGACGCTTTCACACCCCCAGCCCCCCTTTCCGGTCCAGACACTTTCACCCCCCACGCCCCCCTTTCCGGTCCAGACACTTTCACCCCCCACGCCCCCCTTTCCGGTCCAGACACTTTCACCCCCCACCCCCCCTTTCCGGTCCGGACGCTTTCACCCCCCACCCCCCCTTTCCGGTCCGGACACTTTCACCCCCCACCCCCCCCCCCTTTCCGGTCCAGACACTTTCACCCCCCACGCCCCCCTTTCCGGTCCAGACACTTTCACCCCCCACCCCCCCTTTCCCGGTCCGGACGCTTTCACCCCCCACCCCCCTTTCCGGTCCAGACACTTTCACCCCCAGCCCCCCTTTCCGGTCCAGACACTTTCACCCCCCACGCCCCCCTTTCCGGTCCAGACACTTTCACCCCCCCGCCCCCCTTCCAGTCCCCGCTTCCCCCCCCCTTTCCGGTCCGGACGCTTCCCTCCCCCCCTTTCCGGTCCGGACGCTTCCCTCCCCCCCCCCTTCCAGTCCGGACGCTTCCCTCCCCCCCCCTTCCAGTCCGGACGCTTCCCTCCCCCCCCCCTTCCAGTCCGGACGCTTCCCTCCCCCCCCCTTCCAGTCCGGACGCTTCCCTCCCCCCCCCCCTCCAGTCCGGACGCTTCCCTCCCCCCCCCCCCTTCCAGTCCGGACGCTTCCCTCCCCCCCCCTTCCAGTCCGGACGCTTTCACCCCCCCCCCCCCCCCTCCTGCCAAGGCCAATTATTTCAGCGCTATCACACTTTGAATGACAATTGCGCGGTCATGCAACACTGTACCCATATGAATTTTTTAGCACTTTTTTGAGACAGATAAAACTTTATTTTGGTGGTATTTATTCACCGCTGGAATTTAAATTTTTTTGCTATATAAATGAAAAAGTCCAAACATTTTGAAAAAAAGTGTTTTTCTTATAAAATTAAATATTTCATCATAAATCTTGGCCAAAATTTATTTAGTAAAAAATAAAACCCAAATTAGTTTATAATCAAAAATTATAATTTTTTAAAACATTTTTTACATTTTTATTATATATATATTTTTTTTTTTAACATACTGTCACCCTAGCAGTAGTGTCACCATGGTGACACTGTACTACTTGTGGGGGGTGATGAAGATTTTTTTTTTTACACTGATTGCTTTTACACCCATAAAGGCTGTAAAAGCAATCATTTCTCCTTCTCTCTGGCTGCATTCCTGCAGCCATTGAGAA